GAGGAGGGAGAGGGAGAGGGAGAGGGAGAGGGAGAGGAGGGAGAAGGAGAGGGAGAGGAGGGAGAGGCCAACCCTGCATGGCCTGGTGATACTCAAGGGCCCTGGGGCAGGCCTGAGCCAGCAGGAGGCAATCAATGTCCGGAGCTTCGTCTCTCAGGAGGTTCTGGAAGCAAGACCCCTTCAGACCCCAGAGCCACAAAAGTCCCTACAGACTCCAGTGGGTCCCACCCTGTGGGTAATCTCATTCCAGAGCCTTTTCTTTGATGAACACTGTCCCAAGAAGCAGGGCATCCTGTCCTCAAGCGCCCTCCCCAGCCGCCTACCTTCAGACCCTCCAGACCCTCTGTGCCTCGTGGCCCACCCCCTTCTTTCCTAGGGCGTCCTGGACGGGGCACAGAAAGGGCTGAACAAGGCCTCCTTTGTCCCCAGAAGCAAATCTGGAATCACAGTGCTGCCACAGTCTGGCTGGGCACGAAATAACAGAGCCGCCACCAGGCACTTGTAGGTTCAAAACAGGAACTCCTTTATTAGCCGCACTCCCGCGAACGCCACCCACGCGGGGTTCCAGGAACACCAGACACCAACCGGAAATCCCTCCTCCGGAACTTCCCCAACCAACGAGAACTCTCCAGGAATCCCCGCAAGAACTCCAAAGTAGGGGGCGCCCAAGGCGGACAGCAGGGGTCTAATATACAACTGAATACACAGCTTAACATAACCATCGTCATCTCAATGGCTCTCAACCCTGCTGTGGCTCTCAGCACAGTGCCACTGTGGGGGGGGACTCCTTGTGGTCCTGTTGCAGTGAGCACAGAGCCCAAGGCCAGAGCTGGCAGGCTGCCAGGTGTGGTCACACAGCAGTGGGTCAGAGCAAGCCAGAGAGGGCCTGGTGCTGGCCCATGCCAGGGCCCTGCTTCAGTGCCCACATTTATTCCTCATTTAGGCAACTTCCCCGAGGGCCACAGGTGGGGCACAGAGGCCCTAGGAGCTGACCCTGGGAGAGGCCTGAGTTCTGGGGCGTCCCGATCCCCCAGGGCCTTCCTCTGGGGTTGGCTTCCCAGGTCAGCAAAGCCCTCCTCCCACACAGGTGTCTGGAGATCTGGCCGTGCTGCCAGAACTGTGGACACAGGCCACGTCCTCCCAGTGTGCCTTCTGATGTCCCCTGTGGCCCAAAGCCCTGGAGACAGCAGCTCCGGTGGAACCGGTGAGAGCCCAGGGGATTCTGCAGGGTGGCAAGGGCCTGATGGGGAGGCCCCGCCAGCTGCTCCCCACCTAGTGCTCCTGGGCTGGGCTGAAGGGCCGGGTCCACTTGGAGACGTCCAGGAAGATGCTGGAGGCGCTGTGGTAGAGCCAGAGGCGGGGCAGGGCCCCGTGGCGCGTCCAGGAGTCCCGCACCGTGTCGTAGGCCTCCATCTCCACACGGTAGTCGCCGTCCATGCCCTGCCAGCGGCCCCCTGTCACGTACAGGGCGTCGCCCAGAGGCACCAGCGCACCGTTCTCATGCAGGCTGTGTTGGGACTGCACCTGTGGATGGTCAGTGGTCAGCATCCAGCAGGCCAGAGGCTCAGGGCCAACAGCGTCCTCACCAGGGTCAGCGGTTGGGGGAGGGTGGCAGGGCAGTTTGTACCAGCTTCCTGGGGAGGTCACAGGACCCCTCAGGCTTCCTCAGACCCCCTCTGGGGGAGCCCTGCGATTCCCCAGAGGATGACCTCTCCTGGTGTCGGAGGGGCTGAGGGGACCCTGAGGCCTAAGCCCAGGGGCCTCCAGGGAGGCTGGACTGAGCCTCCACTCACAGTGGCTGTCTCGAGGGCACGGGGGGGGGCAGGTGTGCTCACCTGCAGACACCCCGGAGGGCGGCCACCGCGGGACCCCTGCCCGCGCACACACTCCTTGCCCCTGCCTAAGGCCTCAGGAGTGCCCTGGAGAGCGGTTGAGGGACAAGGGCGTAGCTTTCTCTCAGGACATGGCCTGAGAGACTGTGGGCACTCCTGGGAGAGCCGGTGGTGGGACCCAGCCTGGCCCTTGAGCACGGCCRGAGAGGCCTGGTGCAGGACGGGCCCAGGAAGCAGTGCCCTGGCAGGGCCCGTGCTGCACCTGTTTTGCCACTGTGGTGGGGGCCTCAGGTCAGCAGAGTGCTGACACCCAGGGACAGCTGCAGGCAGCAGGAATGCAGAGGCCACTGTTGGCAGGACAGCGGCTGCAGCCTCCCAGGGCGCCTGCGGGAGGGGAGCCTCAGCTCAGCCTCTGGAGGGCAGGCCCAGTGTCCAGCGCGGGCTGAGACCCATCGTGGCCTCCAATGAGGAGAAGACCGGGGCTCCGGTGGCCCCAGGCTGGCCTCTGGAATGACCACCTCCCATCCTCCCCTGGGCCAGTGGCAGAGTGGGGGTGCCTGGGGATCGAGGGAGCCCACAGGAGGGCAGCTCAGGAATCGGCTCCCTGGCCCGAGCACCCCAGGGGAGGCTCACTCCCTGGTGGCCGGCGGGAGGAGCTGCTTCCTTTTAGTCTGTGGCTGCCTCTGAAACACCCAGTGCCTGAGCCGGGGCGCTCCCCAGGGACAGAGTGCCGGTGGTGACCAGCTCACCCGTCCTCAGCACGGCGTGGCGGGGTGCATCCAGGGGACAGTGAAGCCTGTCTTCACCTCCCTGCTGGCCTCTCTGTGCCCCCCGGGCCAGGAGTCCAGCAGGGCCCACCAGTGGAGAGGGGCCTGGGAGGCGGGAGCCCACCTTCTGCCACAGGTTGGCCCCCGGGTCGTACACGTAGACCTTCTTGGTGTTGTCACCGATGAGGTACAGCGCCCCCTGCAGCGCGGCACAGCGGGGCGAGGACAGGTACTTGGGCAGGAAGGGCGAGGCGATCACACTCCACGCATCTGCAGGCAACGGGCACCTTCACCAGAGGGGACGGGCGCGGTCCACAGCCAAGGCCAGGCGCCGCTCGGAGCCTGCTGCTCTCTGCTGCGGACCGCGTGAGCACCCTCCCTGAGACTGGACACTTGTGGAGGGGGCCGTCCCTCTACCCTGGAGGCCAAGTCCACTGATCTTCTGCTCGTCGTCCTCGAGCCTGTCTCCAGGCTGCTCGCAGTGGCCTGTCCCCCAGGCCTCCCCGGGGGCCCCGTCCCCACCTGGAGTCTGGCTCTCACTGGTGGATGGTCCCTCTCATCTCCACTGTCCAGAGGATAAAGGGACCGGGACCAGGGCTGGGAAGGCCACCCTGCTGGAGAATACCCAGCTGAGACTCACTGGGTCTCGGAGGTCCAGGATCACTGCCCGAGAGGCCAGTCCAGGTGCACCAAGCCACCAGGCAGCTTCAGGACAGGCGAGGGGCTGGGGCAGGACAGACAGGCTGCTGCCCTCTGCGAGGCGACCCGGCCCTGCACTGCCCGCCGCCCTTCCCACCCCTCTCTAAAGGGGCCGTGGCCCTTCGTGAGAGCTCCAAGGCCACCTCTCCCCTCCTCTCGGCCCCCCCTCGGCCCACTGGGCTGGGACTGGTTTGGGAGCCTTGCAGAGGGGCCTGTAGTCCCCGCCCCTGCCCACTGTGACCCTGCCCACCTGTGACGGGGTTGTAGCACTGCAGGGCCAGCGCGTTGTATTTGCAGGCGCTGGAGCCCACCAGGTAGAGCCGGCCCCGGCAGCCGGCCGCACAGAAGTTGCTGACGTACTTGAGGGCCGGGCTGACGGACGTCCAGCTGTCCGTGTAGGGGTCGTAGCTCTCCACCTCCACCACGCCCAGGGCAGTGCCTGTGGGGCAGCTCAGCCACGTGAGGGGAGGCTGTGGGCCTCCAGAGGGAGCTCTCAGGGGTGCACAGGGTTGGGGCAAGAGGGGAGCGTGGCCTCCGGGGCAGCCAGCCTCCCACATCCAGGGAGGCCGGGGCTCCGAGAGCTGAGGCTGCCTGCCCGAGGCCATGCCACCGACAACTGGCAGGGAGTGGACAGTCACTTGGACCCTGAAGGGCCCTGGCCAGGCCTGAGAGGGTGGACGGCAAGAAGAAAGACCCTGGAGCTATCGGCAGCCCGTGCCCAGTCCCCGGTGGGGTCTGGATGTGACAGAGAAGGGGAGCCCGGCCGTGGAGCAGGAGGTGCGCCTCGCGTTCCTCGTGCCCCAGTCTTGATGGCACCTGGGGTGTCACGGCGCCCCACCATGTGACCCTGGGGGTTGAGATGCCCTGGGGATTCTGTGTGCTCTCTGCTTCCTGGCTAGGGACACAGCAGCCATTGAGGGAACAGGGGACAGGTGGGCATGAGGAATGGCTGTAGGGCCGGGCAGGTTACCTACAGAGCTCGAGGGTCACATGCATCTCATGTTCAACACTCGGATTGATAATTCCCGGGTGGCTGCTTGCTCTAGCACTGGGGGGGCCTGCGTGACTAGTTGGTCCTGTTTCAGGCTAGAGGCTCAGTGGGCCTGACAGCCATGAGAAAGTGGCCACAGCGGGTTCCCCACTCGGAGACTTCCCAGTGACCCTGAGCTAAAGGCTGAGTCCCAGCTTCAGGGGTGGCATGGTCACCCTGCTGGCAAATCAAGGCCTCCGTTTCTGCCGGCCCCTCCTGACTCATTGTCCTGCTTCCTCTGTCCCCAAAGGCATCCGAAGCACCGGGGCTGGCTTGAGGTCTCCCAGGCCATGGGTTTTGAGAGCCACCCACTGGAAGCCCTGTTGTGGACTTCCCTGACCTCTGGGCAGGAAGGAGGGGCCTCCTGCGGCTGCAGGGAGTGGGGAGGGAGGCCTCACCGCCAATGGCGTAGATCTCCCCGTTGAGCGCGGCGCTGGCGTGGTTGGTGCGGGCCTTCAGCATGGGTGCCACAGGCTTCCAGGCTGCCTCCTTGAGCGGGAAGCACCAGGCCTGGGTGGTCGACCAGGTGTCTGTCTTGGTGCCCCGGGAGCCACCTGCCAGGAGAGGTTCTATCTACACGGGTCCCACCAAGGTGGGGTCTCTGGATCCCTGGGGTCTGGGTACCCATGTCCCCCTAGTGACATTGGTAACCACTGGGTCCAAATTCCCCTGCCCCGTGCCAGGCCATGATCACGAATGTGTTGCGCCTCCATGCCACCAGGTCCTGGGCTGTGGGCGGCACTGTGGGTGGCATGGAGTTGTGGACCTCCTTCCTCATGCACAAGGGGAGGTGAGGATTCCCCACCCCCAACAGGGGAAGATTTCTCCCCCAGACAAATCCTATCAGGAACCCCAAATCCTGTCACCAGCTCCTTCTGGGGACACGCTGGCTGCAGGAGCACAGCAGGTTGGCCCTGGGCAGTCAGTGAACACTGCCCGGCTCCAGCGCCTACCGGTCCCCCCTGGACTTAGACTCCTTGCTTTCACAGCTTGGCCGAGCCCGGAGGGACCCTGTGAGAGGGGAGAGCTGATCTGGGGCCAGTACTAGGCCAGGCACTCACCGGGCAGGGGCTAGCTGGCTGCCCACCTGTGACATAGACGTCGTTGTTGAGTGCTGCCAGGGAGAAGCCCCACTTGTGGTAGTCGGGGAAGTCCGGGAGAGCCGTCCAGCTCCCTGCGGGAGAGAGGAGCATGCGGAGGAAGCACCCCTCGCTGTAGACAAGGGGCACAGAGGGGCCCGGCCAGCCACAGAGGGGAGACGGCACCCAGCCTGTTCACGGGCGGCACCCAGGGACGTAGCAAGCAAAGGCCACCAGGCTCTGCAGGCCAGGCCACGTGGTTCACCCCCCTGACCCCAAGCGGCCATTCAGTCCCAGGTCCAGTCTCCCCTCAGTCACATGGGGTGCGGGCTGTCACCTGATCTGTGGGTGTCACTAGTGGGTCATAAAAACATCACTCACCATCCAGCCACCCAACCCTCCCCCTGAGCCCCCTGTTGGCCCCAGGGGGCATCGGACCCTGGCCCTCTGGGAAGCAGAACGGGTCCAAACCCCAGCTCTCATGCGCCAGCGTGTGGATGAGCCCCGGCCCAGGTTTCCCTCTGTGTGTCTGGGGGTCCTCCTGCTTCCCTGGGGAGGGGTGGCATGGGAGGACGGGTGGGGCCCGGGGACGGCTCCACAGTGGTGGGTGTGGGGGGTGTTCTCACTGCTGGGAGAGCGGGTGATGTGCCAAGTCAGACCTGCCTTCCTGGGGCTCTGGGGTAAACTGAGGCAAGAGATGAGAAGATGTCGAAAAAACATCAGCAAGAGCCTGTCGGGGACGCTGGGGTCCTAGGAATGGCAGCATCTGTGGGCGAGACCAGCCCTGGGGAGGCACCTGGGAATGCTCACTGTCTAGGAGAGTCTCAGGACATGGAATCAGGGCCTCATGGTGAGCAAGAGCCTGGCACCGTGGGCAGGGACCGAGTGTCCCCTGACTCATGCCTGTGTCACCCAGGGTGGGGACTGCCCAGTAGTCAGCGGGCCTGGGATGCCAGCACCCCCACCCTGCCCTGCTGACCTCCTGGCCAGGTCTGAGGGACAGCTGCTCCCTCCTGACGTCAGCCCCAAATCCCCTCTCGTCAGCCTCTGACCTGGACAGCCGGCCTCGGACTTCCTCCAGCCGACCAGCCGCTGCCGCCCTGCGGTGGCTGGCCACCTGCCCCAGAACCTTCCCAGGAAGTGGCCAACAGAGCCACGAGGGGCCCTCAGAGCCCCTCACCCCTTCCCAGGAAGGCAGGGAGGCCCCCCCCCCAAACAGCAGGCCTGTCCCCGGTGTGCCCTCAGCTCCTGGCCTCCTGGTGACTGTGTGAGAGGCCCCAGGTCCCCTGGGCACAGGAGGAAGCTGAGGGCCCTCAGGGAGGCAGAGCAGCCTGCTCAYGGCTGGGGCCAGAGCCCGTGGGCCGAGCGCTCACCCAGGCAGCCTGCGCCCCTCTGTCCCTGTGCCAGGGAAGGGGCACTGAGAGGAAGCAGTGACCCAGGCCACCACCCCACACAGCTCTCCCTGGGCCGTGGGACCTGCGCTCTGGCCACCAGAACCTGACAAAGAGCAGAGATGGGGATCTGGCTGGAGGGAGAGGGGACTGAATGTGTCCCCAAGAAGGCCCGACGAGCACCCCAGTACATGGACTTGGGCAAGGGCCCTATTCCCTGTGCCTCTGCAAGGTGACACCAGGGCCACCTGAAGCGGTGTGGGGAGGTACTCACGGGCCTGGGTGTTGTAGAAGGCGAAGTTCCCAGGCTGAGGAGTGGGCTCCTCACCACCCTCGTCCTCCTCCAGTGCCCGCCCGCCCACTACCACCAGCACCTCCTCCATCTTCTGCGGGAGGCCCAGCATCACCTGTGGGCAGGAGCAGGGGCAGAGCATCTGGCCACCATCTCCCCACGCCAGGGGCCCATGGAGGTCCCTGTGTCAGGGCCACACCTGGGCCAGCCTCAGCAGGGGTGCACACGTGTGTGTGTGTGTGTGTGTGTGTGTGTGTGTGTGTGCTTACATGTGTGCACACGTGTGCGGGTTGCCTTAGTGGCGGAGGGGTGCAGACGGCTGCGGAGGCAGCGTGTGTGAGGGCCAGCACTGTGCCCACTGCCGTTCAGCAGCCACGCACAGCCCCCTGCCCCTGGCTGGGCTGCTCTGGGAGACACAGTCTCAGTCAGGAGCCACTGTTCCAGGCTGCCAGGACCTTCTCCAGAATGTCCAGCCTCCCACCACCAGGATCACTGTGATGGCCAGCCGGGCAGCTCCCAGGCGGCTGCAGCATGAGGCCAGGCCCACTGTGATTGGCCAGGGCCCGGCGGTGGCCGGGGTCAGGATTCTGCCCCCTGTACACTGCCCGGAGCCACCAGGCTGGGCCAAGCCTCCCCCAACGCCCCTCCAGGCTGTCTGGAGGCCGACCCACGTGGCTCCTTGTCTCAGCCACGTCCAGGTCTGTCACTTCACCAGGACCTGCCCCGCCTGCAGTCAGCACAACACGAAGGGCATCCATGAGGCCACTCAGCACCCTCAGGGCAGATGCTGGTGGCTGCCAGGCTGCCTGTGCCCCTGCCTAGGAGCCCCCTGGGCCACCTTCCTGGACCATCTCGACACCCCCGCCCCCTTCCTTCCTGCTGAGCTCCTTCCTTGAGGACCCTGCTCTGATGCCCCCTCCTCCAGAGAGCTCCTGACGCCACCCCTGGAGGGTGCCTGAGCACCTGGCCTTCCCCCTCTGCCTGGGGTCTGTTTCAGGCTCTTCCTGCGGAGCCACGGGGTCCTTCTGGATGGGGCCACTTCTAGGTTCCCCACTCTGATACCCAGGGTGTGGCTCTCAGGGCACAATCTGTACTTGAGGGATGAGGAATGCCCTCACAGGTGACCAACCCAAGGCAGGAGCAGTGCAAAGCTGGTGGCACCTTGGTGACCCCCCTTTCTTGTTCTTGCTCCCCGGGCAGGTGGCGTCTCGGCAGGAGGAGCTGCAGGCCCTCACTCACCCCACTGTGGCTCTGGGACAGCGCTTCCTGGCAGGCCTCTGACTCCTGGATCAGCGGCTCTGTGGCCAGCAGCTGTTGCCTGCAGGGCCTGGGCACTGCGTCCAGGTGCACGAGGCTGAGCAGCTCGGGCAGGTGGACAGCCCGGGCCTGGGCGTCATGGCGCACCCAGCGCAGCAGGGCCTCTAGCCGGCTCTGCTCCGGCTGCATCTGCAGCAGGTCACCGGCCAGACAGGTAGCCAGCCGTTCTCGGGACAGCTGCAGGAACTCGTCCTCCTGGGCCACGGCCTCAAAGTTCTCCCGCAGGAAGGCCCAGGCCTTGGCAGCCACCCCCAGCAGCCCCTGTTGCTCCCCGAACTCGCAGATTCCCAGGCAGTTGGTGGCATCCAGCTGCTGTTGGAGGTAGCGGCCACAGACCTTCTGCACGGCAGGGAAGTGGAGGCGGGAGGCCGTGCGCGTCAGGGCCTCCACGTTGGTCTGTGTGATGGTCAGCCGACCCGTGTACACGAAGTCCAGCAGCTGTCCCACCACGGCCGGCTCCACATCAGGTAGCTCGACACGAGCAGAGAAGCTCTCGGCGAAGTCACCAGAAAACATGGCGTGGAAGTAGGGGCTGCTGAGCGCCAGCAGGCTGCGGTGGCAAGGCAGCTCCCGGCCGCCCACCAGCAGGGTGACGTCGGCCAGCTTGGGCAGAGAGCGAAGCTGCTGCAGGCCGTCCAGCATGTCCTGGGCGTGCGAGGGCAGCTGGAAGTCCAGGTCGTCCACATTCCGCACCATGATGCCAGAGCCGGGCAGGGACACTCTGCAGCCCACCCTGTCACCCACCTGAGTTCCTAGGAAGGGGAGAGAGTAGGGTCAGCCTGGGTGACAGGCTCACTCTCTCTGGGGACCGTCGGTGCACACCCTCCCTGCCCCAGCCAGCCCTGGCTGAGCCTGGCTGACATGGGGCCCCTGTCTGCCACCTCCCTCGACCCAGGCCACAGCCTTGGAGGGGAAAAACTCGGTTCCCATTTCACAGGGAGGAGGTGGCCAAGCCACTGGGGAAGGACAGGCCCCCAGAGGACAGGACTCCTGTGCCACTCGAGCTCCCCAAAGGCCAGCCCTACCCCTACCCCTCTGCCTGAGGGCCGCGTTACTGAGTGACTGTTGGGGGCATTTTAGGGTCTCCTGCCCCCTGATTCGCACCGCCGCCCAGGCCTTTTCTTGGTGGCCTGGGGTGGCTCTGCTCCTCTCTCTGGTCCCATTTCCCCATCTGCCAATGGAGAAGCTGGGGGTGAAGGGCCTGGATCCACCATCCTCCCAAGTCTACCCTGCCCAAATGGGGGTCTCCAGGTCCCACCTTGCTCTGCATTAGCCACTCAGCCCCACCATCCTGAAGGTGAGGGTGTCATTTTACAGCAGGAAAGCTGAGGCACAGAGAGCCTGACTCAGTTGCCCCAGGTCACACAGAAACTGAGGCAGCCAACCCTGGAACTCAGCCAGGTTTGGGGCTATGGCCAAACTTGGGCCACTGAAGACCCTGTGGCTCAGCCAGAGGCTCCTCCTGGGCATGTTGAAGGACGAGCCTGTTTATTTATGGGCTTCTGGTGTTTGGCCCTCAGAAAACATCCTAAAGCAAGAGTTTGCACCAAGGGTTTGCCCCCAGTCACCCCAAGGCAGAGGCTTGCACAGCAGAGGCATCCCATCCACCAGGGGGCACCCACGCAGCCCCCAGGGCCAGGCGGCCGTAGTGAATGCTCTAGAAATCAAACAAGATAAAACAGAGCCGAATAAGCAGAGACAGACCCATGGAGTGAGTAGTCAACCTCAAGGCCTGAGCCAGAGACGCGGGGCAGGCGCTGGAGGCCTGTCCCCTCCATGGCCTGTGCTGCCCTTCTCCTTCCTACTGAGCAGAATGCTCCCAAGGAGCCCACTTAGGCCTTCCAGGGGCCAGCCTGGGCTCATGCTGGGACAGGACAGCTCAGGCCAGGGCCAGCACCTGGCCGGCCATCCAACACGCTTGACCCCCTCACCCCCTCGGGCAGGGTGAGCACAAGAGACCAGCGAGCTGCGGGCACGGGGGCTCTCCTGGGCCACCGCCCACAGGCTCTGCATTCCCGTCATTGCTGCCTTCCCTTGGCCAGCCGCTGCGATGGTGACACAGTGGCTGTCAGACGGGAGCACCCAGCACGTCCCAGCCATCTCAGGGGTGCCTCTGAGCACATGCTGCTGCCATCCCAGCATGGGACAGGGGTCCCAGGGCCTCGGAGCCTTATCCAGCACCTGCCCAGGGAGGAGGGAGGGTGAGCAGGCGGGCAGCTCACAGCCTTAACCCAGCCTGGCGGGGAGCGGGCCAGCGTGGCCCTGGCTGCCGTCCTGGGGTTCGGGGGCCTCCTGGCCCCCCGCCCACTGAGGAAGCCTGTTGGCTGAGCCCCCAGTTCACCCTGAGGAGCTGGGCTGGGCCTGTGGAGGGGCCTCTGTCGCAGGCACTCAGCTCTGTGACCCCCAGGCTAACGGGACACCAGCACAACCTACGTGCTCACCCCCACTGCCCCTGCCTGGCCCCTCCCTTGCTGCCCGCCCCCCTCAGAGCCCCTGCCCCTACCGTCCAGCCAGCCTTGGCGCCGGTCGCTGAGGACACAGAGCTGAAGGCAGGACTGCCCGGCCGCAGCGAGGGGCATGGAAGCCTCCCGGTCTGGGCTGGGTGGCCACGTGGGGATGACGGGATATTTTTAGTCTCTGTCTACATAGAAGGGAGGGTGGGGAGGGATGGGTGGAGGAAGAGGGGAGGTGATAGCTTTTCACAGACGTCTGCTGTGAAAGCCCAAACTGACCATGTCACATCAGAGGGCCTGAGGCCTCCAGGTGACCCCAGGGCAGGACAGACAGTGGGGAGCTTCCAGGGCACCCATGAACTTTCACCCCTCCAGGGGCCCTGGGGCTAACTTGATGGGTGGGAATGCAACCCCTCCCCAGTTTGCTCCTCTGCAGGATGGGACAGTGGGAGCCTATGCTGGGGACCAGGGCCCACAAGGAGAGTCTCAGCTCATGGCTGGACCAGGGGGGGGGACGCTTTGGTTTACTTGACAGGGCCCAGGAGCCTCTGATTCTGCTGTAGAGTGGTGGAGTCTCTCCACAAACAAGCAGGGTCGGCCAGCCAGGCCTTTCAAAGGTTGGGGTCTGCAATGGCAGTGGGGAGGTTTTGGTGGCAAAGAGGGTGACAGGGTCCTGAGGAAGCCCCACCCAGCAGATGCAGGGCACCAGAGGCCAGGCTCCCTTCCTGCCATGCCATGACCTTGGCCTTGGGCGGCCTGGTCTCTTCCTTCATCCTGAGCACCCAGGAGAGCAAAGACATGGGGTGGGGTCATCTAGACACACAGGGGTCACGGGGAGCCCCTCACATCTGGGCCTGAATGGGGCTCAGGAGGTTGATCCCAGGAGCTGGGGTCTCTGGAACTCTCTCATGCCAGTGGGGTCAGAACCAGTCTTCCCAGCCAAGGGGCTTCCACGCACCAGAGAGAAGCCCTTGGCCCTGAGCCTGGCTGGTCAGGCTGGAGGCTCACTGGTCAGCTCTTCCTACTAAAATGACCATCTCTGGTGTGTTGGCAGTGCCGGAGTCAGGGAGTGTCTTACAGAGCAGAGGGGCCAGGTGGCCCCGGTGACAGCCTCCCAGCAGAGCGAGGCCATCTCTCAAGGTAGTGGGGTGTCCGGGCACAAGAGGCACCTGCTTGGCCAGCCCAGCTGCTGTGGCCTGGTTTGAAGCTAAAGGCCACAGCCCCTGCTCCCAGGATGAGTGTGTTGAGGCAGAGGACAGCGGTCACACAGAGCCTGGCATCAAGTCTGGACAGAACGTTCCCGGCTCCCGCGTGGGGTCCCTCCTTCCACGCGCCCCTCCTCAGCTAGCCTACCCCGCCCTGCCCCTTCTCTGCTTCTGTTCCCCATTCTGTTCCTCCAGCCCTGCTCTGCACACTCACGTGGGGTGAGAGAGCCCCGTGATGTCCCCAAGTGTCATATGTCCCGGCCTCGCGGGAGGGAGCTGGAGGGGGAGTGGAGAGGCTGGCTTTGCTCAGGGTGTCTGTCCCTGCTCAGGCTGGAGGGAAGGAGGACAGGAATCCTGATGACAGGCTGCTGTCACAGGGAGCTGGCTCTGCCTGGGGACAGTGCTGTGTGCCAAGTGTGCTGGCCTCACAGTGGGGATTGGAGACCTGGCCAGTCAGGGAGACTCAATGACGGGGCTCAAAAGGGATCCTCATCAACGGAGGGTCCGCCTTTGAAAGTGCACTGCTCATCCCCCACCCTTTTATTTTGTACCAGGGAGCGAACCCAGGGGCGCTTAACCATGGAGACACATCCCCAGCCCTTTTTAAATTTTATTTGGAGACAGGATCTCGCTGAGTTGCTCAGCACCTCACTTTTGCCGAGGCTGGCTTTGAACTCATGATCCTCCTGCCTCAGCCTCCTGAGCCACTGGGATTACAGGCGCGCACTCTCGTTCCCTTTTTTGATGATAAAAACGAAGCATTCATTTTGGGAATCAGAAAAACATAAAGCAGAAAAGAGACTATGGCCTTCACACGCTGGTGGCCTCCCTTCAGGCCTCGCTGGTCTCATGGCGGGTGTGTGTGTCTGTGTGGTCCTCATCACTGGGTGACACGTGGCCAGCACTTCCGCTGAGATCAGTGCTGGAAAACATGGTTTTGAATTCCATCTCAGCAGGGCGATGCCTCGCTGTAGGAAGTGGGAAGTGGGTGTCCGGTTCCCCCCACTGTCAGGAGGAGAGGGTGTGGCTGGCTGTGGTGACCTCCCAGAACAGATTCTGAGTGTGAACTCACAAGTTCTAGTGTGCGGCCATCGTCAGCACCTGAGTGACCAGTGACCAGAGTGACCGGCCTGGCTGAGGCAGTGCCCTCTCTCCTCAAGTGCAGCTCTTTCCTTGGAGGCCCCGGCCAGGCTGCAGACTGTCTGGCTGGCCCGGGACAGGACCCTGCAGGCCACACTGGCCAGCCCCCCTGGGTTTTGTGCCAGCCAGCTCATGGGGTCTCTTCTTCCAAGCGAGACTTATTTTGTGCTTAGGGTGCCATGAAGTCTTGCTTTCTTCTTCTTCCAAGGTACTTTTCTAAACCATCTCGGGGCACTGTGACCAACACTTCTCCCCTGGGATGTGCCGATGCCCTTTCTCTCCAGCCAGGTTAAGTCAGCCCAGTGCGTTCTGATCTGCTTACCCGAGTGACCAGGCTCCTGGCTCAGGGCTACCTAGTGCAGTGGACCACTGCTCTGTGACCATGAGACCTTCAGATCTGAACACCGGCGTCTCTTCATCACTCCTGTTGTATCAGTCAGCTGTGGCTACATGACAAATTGCCCCACACCTAGTGTTTCAGGACCACAAACAAATCTGGCTTTACTCCAGGGTGGTTCTCTCAGAATGTCTAAATGAGGCTGCACTTAGGAGCTGGCCACACTGCAGTGATCTGAAGGCAGCTCTGGGCTGTCCTGCACTCTTCCCTGTTCCGCAGTGGGCTTCCCGAGAGTCAGAGAGAACGCAGGAGACAGAGCCACGGTGTCTTATGTAACCAGGTGGAGGGACACCACAGCTTCAGTGGTGTTCTGGGGGGCACCTGGGGCTGTGACTACCAGGTAGCGAGGGGACTTCTTGAAGGCTGGCCTCAGAGTTTATTTGCTCATTTTTTGTTTCAAACAAAACAAAAACAGAAGAAGAAGGAAAAGAAGAAAAAAGGAAAGGAAAGGAAAAGGAAAGCCTGACTCTGCACCAGCCCACACAGTGGTGTGGAGCGCGTACGTCTCACCAAGCTCCACCCACCAGGAGGGAAGACGCGCTGCCCCTGCACTACCCTTGGGGCGACTGCTGCCTGCATCTCCCCTGGCGCACGCTGGCAGGCTGGCAGAGGCCCCTCCTGACCTTGTTCCTGTCTGGCCTCCTCCTGAGTCTGCACCCTCCAGGATTCCGAGAAGGGCCTCCGGGGTCTCCAGTGAGTTTCTGCCGACTGGAGACATTTATAGGCACCAAACAGAACTCCCCACAGGTGAGCTGTGAGTGGCCAGGGATTCCCAGGCCCATGGTGTCAGAAACCCTGAGATGTCTTTAAAAGCCAGCTCCCCAGGCCCACACCGGGCCAAGGCCACTAGGATCTCTGGGGAAGCTCCCCCCGGAAGCAGGGAGTTTGCAGAAGGCCACTTGGGGGTCACCGTCTTCTGGGCGACAAGCCTGGCCCTGAGCCACCACTGCCTCCCTCGTCCCACAGCCCGCCTGACCCAAGGACCCCTGGGCCTGTCAGGTGCCCCCTAACAGCCTCAATCTGCCCCTCGGCTGAGAAACTGAGGTCCAGGCTTTTCTGAGGCCACAGTGCGCAGGTACGATGCCCTGAGCCAGATGCACCAACCTCCTGCCCAGACGTGGCCTGAGGCCAGGCTCCGTCTTCTGCCCACCACCCAGCCCCCAGGCCCTCCTCTGTCCGGCCCTTGGACCAACAGCACCGGACACGTGGTCATGAAGGAACTGCAGGAGGTAGGAGCACAGGACGTTTTCAGGCCCAGTCCCCCCTCCTATCCTGGCCCTCTGTCAGCCTCGTCCACAGCTGTGGGGTGCGTGGGGTCCAGCACCAGGGCCTCACTGGCCAAGAAAGAGCACTTGGGTGCTTGGCTCAAGGTGCCCACAGCCCCTGCCTGTGAGAGCCCTCTATAGCACTGACCACAGACTGACGAGTGTGAGGCCATGACCAGGACAGAGGCCCTCCCCTGGCCTCAGTCTACCCCTCCAGAATGCCATCCCCTCTGGTGCAGTGGACACTCAGGTCCCAGTGGGACAGAGGATGCAAGGGCGCTGCCCTGGTGTTGTGCCAGGCTAAGTGAGGCTTGGGCCTCAGTGCCCACTGGGGCCAGTTGCCCTGTGGACAAGGAGGCGACAAGCCCAGAGCAAGGTTGGCCAGGACAGGGAGCTCTATTTAGCAAGCAGAGGTCCAGGGTCAGCGGCACAGTGAGGGTCCTGGCAGTGGGGGACACCAGAGAAGGTGCAGCGGGCCCCGGGCGGCCAGACCTGAGGCTGGGGAGGGGGCTTCCATCCCTCCCCCAGAGACCTGCCTCTCTGGGGCTCTCCACTCTGGCTCCACCCTCCAAGCCCCAGGGTCCAAGGTGCCCTGCCCCCGGTGGCGAGGTGGAGGCACTGCAGGAGACCCCTGAAGGTGGCCAGTCCTCACTGCGCCCCTCTGTCCCCAGGGGCCTGTCTGAGGAGGTGGTGGTAGGTGTAAGATTCTTGAAACCCTCCCCCTCCACCACCTGATGGGCTATCGCACAAAGCCCCCACCCCAGAGCCCCCTTGGGCTCCCGCCCAGCCCTCCTTGGTGTCCCATCCCCTGGCTGTCATTGGGAGCTGGGGCAAGCTGCACCCCTCAGGCAGCCACCAGGGCTCCCTCCCCAGCACCTGGTTCAGGAGGTTCTCTGTCGGTTCCCCTGTCCTTCCACCTTGTGGAGAAGAGATGCCCTGTGGCACTCAACGGCCCCTGGAAGTGGCCACACCTGCTGCTGTGTGCTCCCTTCGAGAGGGGCACAGGCCTGCTCTGCTCCCTGGCCCAGGACCAACCCTGCTGCTGCCCCAGGCCCTGAGGGGGGGTCTGGGAGGGTCTGGCCAGCCGGAAGACAGGGGCCACACAAGGAGCCTTCCCTCTGGGGCCAGGTGCTCTGCAGTGCCCTGGT